TGAGGAACTGGGTTCGATCTTCAGCACCACATAAAAATAAAATAAAGATATTGTATCTACCTATAACTAAAAAATAAACTAAAAAAAAAAAAACTCAGAGGAGTCTGCTCACTTGGGAGATTGGGGTTTTGGTAGCTGTTTCCAAGATTATCACCCATAGAAAGGTCTTATGTCTGGAGATCTGCTGGGAGGAGTCAGACATCATGCGATGGTCCTTTTCTGGAACATTAAAACCCTTTCTATCTGGTAAGGACATACATGCCAGGGTGGGTTGCAGATTTATTCATGTTGTTTTACCCTCAGTATCAGTGACTTGCATATGTTTGAAAAATAGTTACTGAAGGGCATGATGGATCACTTCTGTAGACCTATCTACTTGGGAATAAAGTAGAGTGATACAGGAGAATCATTAGGAATTTGAGACCAGCCTGGCCTCTAGCCTGGGCAGCACTGTGAGACTCCATCTCTTTATTTTTATTTGTTTCTTTCTTTATTTAGTGGCACTGAAGATTGAAACTGGTGGTGATCTACCACTGAGATAAATCACCAGCCCTTTAAAAAGATAAATCTTTTTTTAAAATTTTGAGACAGGGTCTCACTGAGTTGCTGAGACTGGGCTCAGATTTGTGATCCTCCTGCCTCGGCCTCTGAGTAGCTGGAACTATAGGCATGTGCCACTACTCCCAGCTGAGCCCATGTCTCTTTAAGATAAAGAAAAATAGCTATTAAGGTCAGTGCTCTATAGGGTTGACTCAATCTATAGCCAATATCAGGATTTAGTCCACAACCAGAGTCAAGATTCAAGGGATCATTTAAAGAGCCTTCTTAGAAGAGATCCTATGGAGTAAAGCTGTATTGCTCTATGCCTTAAGAATGACTTTTCAGCTGGGGTCATAGTTCAGTGGTAGAGCATTTGCCTCAGACATGTGAGGCCCTGGGTTCAATCCTCAGCACCACATATAAAAAAAAGAAATATATTGTGTTCATCTATAACTAAAAAAGTATTTTTTAAAAAATGAGTTTTCAGGCCAGGTGTGGTGGTGCACATCTATAATCCCAGCAACTCGAGAGGCTGAAGCAGGAGGATTGCAAGTTTGAGGCCAACCTCAACAACTAAATAGGGCCATAGCAACTTAGTAAGACCCTGTCTCAAAATAAAAAGGGGCTGAGGATGTGACTCAATACCCCTGGGTTAAGTCCCTGGTACAAAAAAAAAAAAAAAAAGACTTTGCTGGCAAACACTTTCTGGTCCCTTTTTACCCTGTAGAAGCTTGGTTTCTTTTCTTCTCATTTGAATAAATCCTACTCCTTAACCTCCCCCCCCACCAAAATAAATAAATAAATAAAAGGATGATTTTTCAGAAAGAGTCATCATGAAAGGGACTTCAGAGTCTCTCCAATCCAGCTATCTGTTACTTATTAGAACTCCCCTACATGTGTTTCCAGCTGTTTATGTTGCTATTCCATTGCTGGGAAGCTCAATAGAAATTGCTTCTTTCTCTTTCTGGTTTCAGGGCTGGACTCCTTGCCACCAAACCGGGAGGCCATGTTGTCTATTCTACCTGCTCCCTCTCACACTTACAGAATGAGTATGTGGTGCAAGGTACCATCGAACTTCTGGCCAATCAATATAGCATCAAAGTTCAGGTGGAAGACCTGTCTCACTTCCGAAAACTTTTCATGGACACATTCTGTTTCTTCCCATCCTGCCAGGTTGGGGAGCTGGTAATACCAAACCTCATGGCCAATTTTGGGCCTATGTACTTCTGCAAAATGCGTAGGCTAACCTAGCATCACTTGTCCCTGCAGTAGGAAGACAAAGGATGTACTCTATTGGAGGCACTGGAAACTGAGACCAGTGACAGAGATGCACTCTAGATCCCGTCTCCATCCTGAGTTTTTTCTGCAGTTTTAAGCAGTAGGAAGTAGGAGTTTGTCCTACCGCTCAATTGTGAAGTATCAACAGGTTTCTAATCACTTATTACTCTTGCCCTATTGCCAAGCTTATGCTAATGGTGCCTGACCCATTTGGAGATTAGAAGGAAAAAAACCAATGAGAAACCTACACTGTAAGCTGTATACTTGTGAAGAAGCATTTAGCAAATAAAATTGTTGAAGTTCCATAGAGCTGGGGATATGTCAGGGGCTTTATGTCAGTGCAAGTACTGTTATAGTTGCATTTGTACCAACTGCAGCTGCTGAACACTAACTCCTTGGTGGCCAAGCTCAGGATCTCAGACTGATGTTTGAGACTGGCCTCTGATTATAAAGTTTCTCTCACACTTGAGGTGAGTTCTGCTTAATTAGTTGATAGTTCAGCAAGCCCCCCTAGTTTCTCCATATAGCCTATGATCTAATTTAAGGAATAAGTAACTAAAAATGTTAAGCCAGTGCACAATAATCTGCTTACTTACTCATTGAGAAAGCTCTCCTAAGCTGAGTAATTCTGACCATTCCTTCTGCTGTCAAATGTAGATAGAGAAGCTGCCTCTGCCATAGGGGTATCATACTTTTGTGTGTTTCTTAATAGTAAGTATTCTGTGGACTTCTGTATGTCAGGAAGCTAGGGAGCTCTGAGAACTATATAACTGGCAGATATATAGAACTGGGGGATAATCAGACCTCTACAGCCTTCAGAATGACAACTCACCTCCTTTTGCTTTCTGAGTGCCTAAGAATATCCTAATGTTTTGTTTTCTTTTGTACCAGATTTTTTTTGTTCTTGTTCTCGTCTGTAACCAAAGTCTAGTACCTGCTCTTTGGCCTATTTCAAAATCCCTCTGAACTCTTCCCCCAGCATCATAGGTTTTCACCTCATATAATGTGTATTTGGGGGCAACACTATATAATTTACTGACTACATGCTATTTACATCTTTGTAATATTAGCCAAAAAATGGTAACCTTTAGTGGCAGGGAGATTAAAAATTGCTTGTGGTTACCTGAAAATTTTTTTCATTAAATTTTGTTGTCATTGTTTTTCTGAAAAACTGACCCTTGTGCAAGAAAGGGTGCATGACTTTAGAATACCTGAAGGTTTCTTGGCTCTTCCTGTTGTCCCTATTCCTCTTCTATCTCTTGCTGCCATTCCTTTTGCCCTTTATTCTTTTCTTGTTAATCCTTATTTGACTGTTAAAGATGTCAGATGAAAAAGACTTTAGTGAGCTTAAGCCTTTTTCATTCTTAGGATTTGCATTGTCACTAGGCTCTGAAAGATCTTTTAGACTCCAAATCAAGTGAAGCTTAGAAGGTAGAGCTCCAGGAGTTTGGCTGGTCAATCAGCTTTTATGCATGTGGTTCCTACTTGCTGTTTTGGTCCTTGGCCTCTTGGACCAGTCTGGTGCTATGTGAATATTAAGTAATAATAGTTCAAAAGGAGAGGCTTTCCTGTCCCTGTAATCTCATTCTAATTGGGAGCACCACCTCAGGTAAGAAAAGTAGAGAACTACTTTAGAAAACAGTTTGATTCTCTCTTATAATTGATTTGTGGTATTGAGGATTTAACCCAAGGGCACTTTACTACTGAGCAACATCCCCAGCACTTTTTTTTTTAGGGAGAGATACTAGGGTTTGAACTCAGGGGCACTTGACCATTGAGCCACATCCCCAGCCCAATTTTGTATTTTATTTAGAGACAGGGTCTCACTAAGTTGCTTAGCACCTCATTTTTGCTAAGGCTGGCTTTGAACTCACAATCTTCCTGCCTCAGCCTCCCAAGCCCCTGGGATTACAGGAGAGCACCACCATGCCCGGCCCAGCACTTTTTTATTTTTGGAACAGGTTCTCCCTAAATTGTGCAGGCTGGCCATGAACTTGTGACCCTCTCACCTCAGCCTTCTAAATTGCTGGGATTACAGTGAGATTACAAAGCTACTATCTTCTGTAATTGAATATTCACTTACCCTGTACCCAGTTATTCCGTACTAAGGATAAATCCCAGAGAAACTCATACGTGTATACCAGGGCACATGTGAAGGATGTTCAAAGCAGCCTGTTCACAAAAGCAAAAGCCAGGAAATAATCCAAATGTCCATGAAATAAAAGAGTGGGTGAATTAACTGAAATAGCCTCACTATGAAATATTATGTAGTTGTAGCCGGGCACAGCGGTGCATGCCTGTAATCCCAGTAGCTTGGGAGGCTGAGGCAGAGGGATCATGAATTCAAAGCCAGCCTCAGCAACTTAGTGAGACCCTGTCTCAAAATCAAATTTAAAAAAAGGGCCAGGGATATGGCTCAGTTCTTAAGCGCCCCTGGTTTCAATCCCTAGTGCCAAACAAAGAAAAGAAAAATACAGTTGTCAAAATAAAAACAAATGAACTATAGCAGTACTATTATGGTTTGGATATGAGGTGTTCCCCCATAAGCACATGTGATAGACAATGCAAGAATATTCAGAGGTGAAATGGTTAGATTGTCAGAGTGGATTAATTAATTAATTAGTGGATTAATTCATTTAATAGATGAATACTTTGAAAGAACTACTGGTGGCAAATGGAGCATGACTGGAGGAGGTGGGTCCTGGGGGTGTGCCCTTGGGATTGTATTTTATCCCCCTTGCTCCTCCTCTTTTCAGTTCTCCAACTGTCCTGAGATCCTCTACGACACCCCTCTGCCATGATTCTTCACCTCACCTTAGGCCCAGATCGATGGAGTTCATGGCTAGTCATGAACTGAACTTCTGAATCCTTGAGTCAAATTAACTTTGCCTCCTCTAAGTTGTTCTTTTTTTTTTTAATATTTTCTTTATTGTCAGTGTACTTTGTTTATTTATATGCAGTGCTGAGAATTGAATCCAGTGCCTCAAACATGCTAGGCAAGTAGTCTACCACTGAGCCACAGCTCCAGCCCCTAAGTTGTTCTTTTTTTTTTTAGAGAGAAATAATTTTTTAATATTTATTTTTTAGTTTTCGGTGGACACAACATCTTTATTTTATTTTTATGTGGTACTGAGGATCGAACCCAGCACCCCGCGCATGCCAGGCAAGCGTGCTACCGCTTTAGCCACATCCCCAGCCCCCTAAGTTGTTCTTTTCATGCATTTTGGTCACAGCAACAAAGAGTTGACTAATATAGAAATATAATAATATGGATGAATTTTAGCAATAAAATATGAAGCAAAAAAATTTAATCCCAAAAGAGAAAGTATAGTATGATGCCTTTTTTGAAAGAAAAGTTTTTTTCTTTTTGTTATTATTTATATACTGTGTAATCCATTAGTTTAAAATGTGCTGTTTGGGGCTGGGGATGTGGCTCAAGCGGTAGCGTGCTCGCCTAGCGTGTATGCGGCCCGGGTTCGATCCTCAGCACCACATACAAACAAAGATGTTGTGTCCGCCGAGAACTAAGAAAAAATAAATAAATATTTTTTAAAAAAATTAATAAATAAATAAAATAAGATAAAATGTGCTGTTTAGTGAATTTTGATAATTGTATATAATAGTATAGCCATGATCACCAACAAGATGTAGACAGTAATTTCATTTGCTAAAAAGATTCCTTGTGCTCCTTTGTACTCAATCCCCATTCCCTGTTCCTGTTCCCAGATAACCCTTGATCTGCTTTCTGTCACTATAGTTTTGTCTCTTCCAAAATTTCATGTTGTAGAAGACAGAGTTGATTTATAATTAGACTGTAAAATCTTCATCTTCAGTACAAGGTCAGCTGGCTTCATTGTTTTTTGGCCTAAAGTAAAGCAGAGAATCATAGTGGGAAGAATATGGTGGAGTAAAGCTGCTACCTCATGGCAGCTGGGAAGCAGGGACAGATAGAGGGGAAGGGACTGAGGACAAAATACAGTTCCCCAATGTCACACCCTTAAGGACCTACTCCTTTCAACTAGGTCTACTTCCTACAGTTTCTGCCATCTCCCAGCAGTCCTTTTCAGCTATGAATCTATCAATGGTTTTTCTATCCATGAAGTTTTGAGTATATATATTATGGTGAAAAGGAAAGAATAATTATCACTAGAATTGAGGATAATGGTTCCTATGGGTAGGGTGATAGGATGAGGCTGGAGGGAACATAAAATGAGGTCACTTTTAAGGTTCTAGTTTTCATGTGTGGTGCTTATTACATTATTAAAAACGCTATACATAAAAGTAAGTTTTGTGTGATAAAAGTGGTAAAAACACATTGTGAGGATTATTATTTGTCCAACAATGTATACCTGAGTCCCTCCAAAAAGAAAGAAGTGGGTTGAAAACCAAGGCCGCAGTGTATAATATTTTAAATATGGCTTAATGTGGGCTGTGGGACCAGCCATATCAAGAACCTAGGCAATGTTGCTACAGTCTTGTTCATGAGTTTCTTTCCCTGTGACATACAACAGCTCAACTATAGTGGGGGACCAAGTGTTTTGGCAGCCATGTTTAATACTGGAGAGAGAGTTTGAATCTGTGGTTTTCATCTTTTTGGGTCACAAATCTTCATGAGAAACTGAAAGCTTTGGCCCTTCTAGGAAAAAAATTTAAGATCACTACAGCATTTTACATGTAATTTCAAGTGTTTGGCACTCCCTAAATCTCATCTATAAACCCCTAGTTAAAAATTTAGGGGGGCTGGGGATGTGGTTCAAGCGGTAGCACACTCGCCTGGCATGCGTGTGGCCTAGGTTCGATCCTCAGCACCACATACAAATAAAGATGTTGTGTCTGCCGAAAACTAAAAAATAAATATTAAAAAAATTCTCTCTCTCTCTTTCTCTCTCTCAAAAAAAAAAAAAATAGGGATTAGAAGATCTCAGGATTTGATGGCCTTTAGTGGAAGAATAGGGGACAAGAAGAGCCAGACACAAAAAGTGGCACATACTTTTAATCCAGAGACCTGGGAGGCTCAAGCAGAATGATTGCAACTTAGAGGCCAACTTTGGTAACTTAATGAGGTCCTGTCTCAAACTGGAAAAAAAAAAAGGAGGGGGGTGTACCTCAGTGGTAAAGCACTCCTGAGTTCAATCCCCAGTACTGTGTGAGGGGAACAAGCAGAGGGCCCCCCTACCTCACCACCATCCACCTCAATTCAAATCATCACTTTCTCCCCTGCCAGTCTGCCCTTCCCATCTGCATTCTTTATCTCCACCATCTATGTTACTACCCAATTTAACTAAAAATTGTAGTTACCCATGATGACTTCTCATTAGTAATAATAGCAGTGGCGATAAATTATTGTGTACTGAACATTTTTCTTAGCCATGCCCACATTAAGAGAGCATTAGTTTACGTGCTTAATTTGTTTCTTATCTTCACAGATATATATATTCTTTTATTTTTTGGTACTAGGGATTTAGCCCAGGGTTTTTGTTTGTTTTGTTTATTTGTTTTTTTAACCAATGAGCTACACTCTTTTTATTTTTTTATTTTGAGACAGGGTCTTACTAAATTGCTTAGGGCCTTGCTAAATTGCTGAATCAGGTATTGAGATTGGGGTCCTCCTGCCTTAACCTCCCAAATCACTGGGATTTTAGGCATATACCCCACACCTGGCTGAAATTTCTTTCTTGAAATATCTTTATTTCTCCCTTTCCTTTCTATGTTCATGTGTTGGGTGAGGTCTTTTCATTTCTCACTGAAGAGTGGCAATACTTCAAAATTGGTTTCTGTGACTCTAATTTTAATTCTCCCTTATGGTCCCTGTAACACTCTTTGTTGTATGGTTGCTTATGTCAGTAATTTCTCCCATCCTGTCCCAATAGTTTGCTGCTTTTCTCATCAAGAAATAGAATTTTCTTCTACCTTTTGAATCTGGGTTGATATAATGATTTGTTTTGTCCTGTAAAATCTGGTGGAATACATACCATACGGCTTTTTGAGCCTTGGCACCAAAGGTCTTGCAGCTTCCACTATCATCTTAGAACTCTTCAGCTGCCAAGGTCTCGGCTTGGCACAGAATCACGAGTCACCACACACTTGTAGATTCAAACAGCAATTCTTTATTCCCGAACTCACACCTCCTCCACACAGGTTCAGGGGCAATCTAAAATCTCCCGCACAATTCACGTCCTAAATATTTTCTCTCCATGAGAACTCAGCGGGAACTCAGGCAGCAGGCACGCCCTACTCCCAGCAGCAATAATCTTCAACCTCCAACTTCCCTAAAACTCCTATTATCTTAAACCTGGCACGCCCTAAACCCAAGGACTGGGGTACTTCCTCAAACCTGCAGGATACACCCTAATCCTTGATCCACCCTGGTCATTGAGCAGGGTCACCTTTCTCAAATGCACATGCAAGGTCACAGCGGATTTCCAAGGCAAGTCCATTTAACATGGGGTATGATGCGTCATACCTACTTGGCAATGGCCCTCAGCATTCAGCTGCATGTGAAAAAGCCTGGGTCATCCTTCTGGAAACCTGTAACAGAAGCAGTCTTAGACCTTTCAACCTCAGAACAGCAGTCAGATGGCCTCAACTGAGTGTATGACCCCAGTCAAGAGCAGCATAAATTGACTTCAGAAACATAAGTAAATAAAATGGTGATTGTTTTAAGCTACTAATTTTGCGGGGTAAATAAGTTTAAGTCAAAATTTAACATTTATGGGGCTGGGGTTGTGCCTCAGTGGTAGGTGCTTGTCTTGTATGTGTGAGGCCCTTGGTTTGATCCTCAGCACCACATAAAAATAAATTTAAAAAATAAAGGTATTGTGTTGACATACAACTAAAAAAAATTCTTTTTTTAAATTTAACATTTATGCTCAGTATAATGGTGCCTGCCTGTAATCCCAGCAGCTCAGGAGCCTGAGGCAGGAGGATTTCAACTTAAAAGCCATTCTTAGCAATTTAATGAGGCCCTAAGCAACTTAACAAGACTCTGTCTCAAAATAAAAAATAAAAACGGGCTGAGGATGTGGCTCAATGGTTAAGCGTCCCTGGGTTTAATTTCTGGTACCAAAAAAAAAATTTTTTTTTTTTTAAAGGGCTGGGGATGTAGTTTAGTGGTAAAGTGACTGTGGGTTAAATCCCTAGTACCCCCCCAAAAAAATAACACATTTGATAAATTACTTATTATTTATTAACTGGCATGATAAAATCCCAAAACAGAGGACTGGGGGTATAGTTCAGTGATAGAGTGCAGGCTGAGCATATGTGAGATCCTGGATTCAATCCCCCGTACTGCAAAAACAGAAACAAACAAAAACAAAAACCCAAACCTGACAGTGTGATTAATCTGTTTACAATTCTTTGTTTTCTGTGTTTGTAGGATCAAGTCCAAACTCTGCGATGACCCCTGGTTGTTGATTGTTTCATTCTCCTATCCTCTAATCCTTTTTTTCAGAAATTGTATCCATCCCAAGTAAAACTTGCCACTGTGATGCCTCTGAGTCATGTCACATTGTCTTCTCTGTCAGGTGTCCTATTCCCTCTGCTCTTCTTGCTCAAAGAGCAAATTTGCACCTGTTCTAAGAAACCCTCTAAAGCAATCTGATTGATCCTGCTTCTGTGTATACTATGGATACAGTACTTCCTTGTGTTTTCTTTTTCACCTTTACCCCATTTCCAGGCTAAGAAATATTGAGGAAAGGAAGGTAATATTTGTCTTTGCATCTCCAAACTCCAACATACTAGGTATGTATTATAGGTAGTCAATACATATTTGAGTACCTCTTATGCTCTAGGCCTAATCATAAATATGAAATAGAATGTGAACAGAATGGACAAGATCCTTTCTGTTGGGGCAAAATAGACAAGTAATTACAAATTAATTACAGGTAATTTCAAGCAAATTACAAAGTCCTGAGAGAAGTATAAAGAGCATATATGCCTGCGAGACCTAATCTAATCTTGAGGAAGAGATTTATTTATTTATTTATTTATTTATTTATTTATCATATATTTTTTTAATTGTCAATGGACTTTTATTTTATTTATATGTGGTGCTGAGAATTGAACCTAGTGCTTTGCACATGCTAGGCACGCACTCTACCACTGAGCTACAACCCCAGCCTGGAAGAGATTTTTTAATACATCTGAGGATGAGGGCTGAGGTTGTGGCTCAGTGGTAGAGTGTTCGTCTGGCATACACGAGGCACTGAGTTCGATCCTCACCACCACATAAATGTAAAATAAATATATTGTGTCCACCTAAAACTTAAGAATAAATATTTAAAAAAAAAACATCTGAGGATGAAGAGGAATCAATTTAGTGAGGCAGAGGAGGGTATGTGAAATGCTCTAACAGGAAGAATGGGTCCTAAGAATGTGAAGCTCCGAGCTGGATATGGTGGCACACATGCAGGTAATCTCAGCAAGAAGGATTCCAAATTCCAGGCTAACCTTAGCAATTTAGCCAAATCCTATGTCAAATAAAACATAAAAAGAACCAGGGAAGTAACTCAGTGGTAAAGTGCCCCTGGGTTCCATTCCAGTACTGGCGCCCCTACTAGGTAGTTTGGGGACACCAGGGTGGTGGAGAACAGGGTGTAAGAAAGAAGCCACTGGAGAACAAGACAAGAACAGTCATGACCATGACAATTTCCAAGGGGAGTGGAGAATGAAGAATAGTCTAATCAGGAATCATAAAGTAACCAATGGGAACAAATGGGGTAAGGTCTTCAATCAGCTCCATTTAGAGAAGAGAACGCCTCAGCTCAGCATTATAAGACCCTATTTTCAGCCACTGAGGCCATGAGCCTTTTTCTCTCTTGGCCCACTCTGCTCTACCTAACAGAATGCTACTTTCATCTTCAATTATTCTGTTAACCTCTGTGTGTCTTGCCTCAATTCTTAGTTTGGGACACCAATGACCTGGATTTCAGCTGGATATCCCAACAGTAACACTAAGGCAAGAGAGTCCAGGACACAAACAAGGTCCAGTAACTTGCAACAGTGAGAGAAAGAAATGGCTGTAAAATACAAGGCTAGAGAAACAAGTAAAAAAATAAAAAAGGCAAAAGCCAATTACACCAGGCCTTCCAAATTTGGTAAAGGAATGAGCATTTTATCCAGAGTAATTAGATATCATTGTAGGGGTTTTAAGCTGGAAAACAAGCTGATCAGATTTCATGGGCCTCCCACTAGGAATATGATTATCAGTTGCATTTGCTGACTGAGGAAATTAAATAACTGGCTCTACAGAAAAAGCTTCTGAAGGTCACTCCTATCCTTAAGTTTATTCATCCCTCATCTCTCTTAAAAAGTGGGAACTGATAAACTCCAAGGTGCTCAACATATTTTGAGGCTATACTTTAAGAGGCCTATTGGCAAACTTGATTGTAGCCTGAGGAGAGTAAACAGGATGGAAAGGAAATAGGAAGGCCCATTCTGGGAAGAACAACTGACAATTGTTATGCCTGGAGAAGGGCAGATTTAGGGAAGAGAGGCCAACTCCAAACAGGACTGTTCTAATGAGACCAGAGATGTTACCAATGTTCCCATTGAGTCCCAGAGAAATGCCAAGGCAAAAGTAAAAAGTTCTAGGGCTGGGGATGTGGCTCAAGCAGTAACGCGCTTGTCTGGCATGCGCAGGGCCCTGGATTCGATCCTCAGCACCACATAAAAATAAAAGATTGCCAAGGTCAATGCTTGGCACCAGAATCACGAGCCACCACACAGCTTTGTAGATTCAAACAGCAATTCTTTATTCCCGCTCTCACACCACCTCCACACAGGTCCAGGGGCAATCGCGTTCTGTCGTCTCCCGCACAATTCACCTACTCCACGAGGCTATCTCCAAATCCCATTTTAATCTCACGAGAACTCAACGGGAACAAGCAGCAGGAACACCCTAATCCCAGCA